TGAGCGGCAAAGTCAATTTCGAATGAGGCGAGCAGCTGACAGCGCTCCATGAGCAGCATCAACTGCCAGTGCTTGATCACTATCTTATTGTTCACATTGGCGTCCACCTTGAAGTGCGCCGTCAGATTGGCTACGTGCAGAATAGAAGTGAAGCGCCACTGAGACGGCTTCCCACTGTCTCCATCCTCCAGCAGCTTCGTCTCCAGCGGCTGAAGGTGCTTCAGTCCGAAGATCTTTAGGTCATAGATGTTTGCGTCACCTGAGAAAGTTTTTGACATTTATGTTGTTAGAAGTTTTAGGTTTTTAAAGGTTTTAGGCCATGGCAACAGCTCACCCCAGTGTTTCAGCTTTACAAACTGCGTCTCCTGAATAACGAGCGGCTCAAATTGATGGCCGTATTCACGCTTCATCATGTCAACGAAGCGCACCACAAACTCATTGGCAATCATTCGCTTTAGATTGAGGTCGTTATTGGCAATGCGCCACTTGTTCAGATTCACATCTAATTTAGTGAAAAGGCAATTCATCAAAGTCAGCTTTCAATTTTTTTGCTGCTTGCAACATATGTTACCTTGTCGATTGATGGGCTGATTGCTCGCTGGTAAAGGTGACCCGTTACCGTCCGGGGAGTATTGCTTGTGCTCGAAATTCAAAATCACCTGCGGCTTCAGGCGGTTGTTGTTGACGATGCACGAGCCACGAGTGAAGATTTCAATTTCACATTTATCCTTTGAGTGAGAAGGTGATGGTGGCCCGCGGAGGGCAGTGTGGTGGACAGAAGGTGGATGCCTGCTGCCCACCTCATTCCAGTGCACTATTTGAGGACGACCTTTGATCTCCTGCAAACTGCTCAGCAGACAGGGCAGCAGGAGCGAGGCTTGGAGCAGCAGATTCATAGTGGGGATAGCCTGCTCATCTACTGGCAACGCTGTCTGTATGCATTGCCAGTGAAAGTGACTACCACCAGAATTAGAAAGAGAACACAGTTACTCTTCCATCCGGATACAGGATGAGATAGGGCATTTTCTTTGAATGCCATTCGATTGCACAACAACTTGACATTCTCAATGCTCAGTGCTCTTGCAGCAGGCATGGGTTTATTCTGCCTCAATGCTTCGACTGAAGTGTAACAACAAGACAGAGATCACGCAAAGCGTACTGCCGATAGATTTCCACCTCTTCACCATCAAACTTCAACTCTTTGTTCACACTGGGCTGCAGTGATGTGGTCAGCGACTTGCACTGCTCGCTACCTCGAAGTGATATGGTTTTCTTTGCCAGCTCCACCAGCTGGGCATTGATGGTGTCCAGTTGGGGTCGAATTGTGCCGATCAGGTCGACGTGAGGTGCTGATGTCAAGTTGTGGTGATTGCTCTTCCACAGACTGAACATGTGCTCCTGCACCAAACAGCTGGCTCTCATCTGATTGGCGAAAAAGGTCGTCAGCCATTGTTTGTCAAGTCCGTAGTGGCTGGCTTTGGCTACACTCGCCGCCAGAATCGCCATTTCTCGTACTGGATCGAAGATGGCCTTTTTGCTTTGCCACTTGCTCAGTGCCACCTCTTCGCCGATCTTCATTCGTTTGGCAAGAAGGCACAGTAACTGTCTGTATTGCTGCACCAGATCTTGGTGCTGCTGATCTTCGGTTTTTGTGGCACTGAGTCTCTCCAGCAAGTCCCGACAAGAGGAGAAGGAGGATTCGCTGTTTGCCGATTTGAGAGCGAGGATTAGCAGCAAGGTAAACAGTGACAGTGCAGTCGATCTCATTATGCTTTGATCTTTGGATGATCCAAAAAAGGAGTCAGAGGCCTAACTAAAAAGGAGCAATGCAAAGTTGGTAAGGTGAAAGTGATTAGGTTGTGCACCCGCTACAAGAAAGAACAAGAGACAGGTGTACACGAGAATGGTGTGAAAGTAAACAATGGAAGTGATGACAGGTACTGGCTAGCCTGCAAAGGTGCAACTCTGGTATCTCAGGTGGGTATTATATTGATTGAGCAATTGCCAGCAGTTGTGTACCTGCATTCATAACCAGTCAAATGCAGTTGCAGACGTCAGATGACAGGCAGTCGCATTTGCATTGCTGTGTTTGCACAACTGGGCAAGATTGGATGCTGCTACAGAGGAGAGGGAAAGGGAAAGTGAAGGTAAGTGGTGACATGACATCACACACAGTGCTGATGCTGCTGCAGTCACCGTGGGTTCGCCTGCACCAAGGTCCAACGCAGAGAGAGGCATTGGAGATTGTGGCCAGTGACAACGAGAAGGCTCAAGCGCACAGACAAGTCAGTGTCGTTGCCCAGACACAACACACATCACACCACAGGCACCAGAGTGTCTGCGGTGACCGTGCACAGCCATACACAGCCATGCACACACTTCCCATGGACGTCGCCATGAGAAATAACCGGCGAGGATTAGAGAAAAAAAGTTATGGGTTATATATTGAATGCGCGCCTGGTGGCTGGTGGTGGTGGAAGGCAGACAATAGGAGGAAACATAATAATAACAATAAAAACTGAATAAAAGTAATAATAAGTGATGGCGGATAGAGCGGAGTGATGAGGATGATGCCCTTGGGGTTAAAAGCGTCAGACCGGATCACCTGTCTGCCCGGCCTGTGCCGATGGCGGCACAATAGGTGGAGAGAGAAGACACATCACAGTTGATGTGCCGTAGTGTCAAAGTGGCTGCTTAGAGGTTCTGAGAGTAGTTACGTGATTTTACGAGATCACCCGTGTTCAGTCGTCGACGAGGTCGGTCGTCGAGAAATTCCGGTACGTTGTTGCGAACACTTCGGGCCAGTTTCTGGATTCGATCGGCAATCGAATCGTTGGGGTTAGTTATGTTCTGGAAGGAAATAAAAGGTGACGGATTAAACCTAGATACAAAGTGAACATTGAGCAGTAAAAGCTTACGTCCTCATGGTCTTCAGTCAAGGCAGACATATGTCGAGGAATCATGATGGGCAGGGAATTTCCATAGAGGTCCGGGTTGCCACCAAGTCGACTTGGAAAAACCAGGGGGACGTTCTGACTGACGGAAGAGGCCATCTTTCGAGTGCGCACACCACCGTCTTTGGACATGATGTTGTTGCCCGACTCAGCTAGTGGCAATACTTGGTCGTAGTCTTCAGAGTCCTTCATACTACTCAAAAATGCATCCTCTTCCTTTTGAGCAGTATCCTCATCATCGTCGAAAAGATTGCCCCCTTTCAGATGTGATCCCTTGCCATCGCCTTCGATGTCGTCCATGTCAAAGAGGCCGTCAAAATCAGCCGATCGCAGCTCTCGCTTAGAAAATGAAAGTCCTTCTTTAGAAGAGCCAGTTTGCTTGCTAAAAGACTCCGAGCTGATTTCAAACACTAAAACAAAACGTTTGTGTAAGAAAGATAAGTTAAACACAAACTAAACTTACTGCTTGCTTCTTCGCCAAGAAAAAAGTCCTCCTTCTTCTCGTGACTGTAGCTGATGGTTTCGACTTTAAGTTCTGAGGTGGATTCTTTGTCGAACGAGTAGTCGATCATTTCAGGACTTCGATTGATGGCTTCGACCATTTTCATAAAGTCATTCTTTTCCTTCTGAGCCGATTTGCACAGTTCTTCGTACTTGCCATTTTCCTTGCGAATATACTCTTTTATGCGTTCATCCATTTTGATTTGTTCAATGTAGAGCGACTGCTTAACTTTGGCTGAAGCCTCCATTTCCACCTCTGACATTGCAGATTCAACCATTAGTTCACCGGAAAAAATCTTGCCCATCTCGCCCGGAATTCGGTAAGATTCCTTTTGGGCAATTCGAATACCGAAAATGGCTGAATACGCTGGATCAGCCATAATCATATCCATCTCCTGAATGTTGTTCTGTAAAAGAATCAGATTTATTACAGATGTTGAAAATAGAAGTCGAATGAACTCTTACCGAGCAATGAGAGCTCACGAGGACTAAGCCACTTGAGTCATCACCTCCCAGGAGAACGGCATGCGTCTCTTTCTCGCAAACTGCACAAAAGTTAATTTGCCAGTTGGAAATATTGCGCTTCAAGCTCAGGTAGTTATGGTTCTAAAGTGTGCAAAAGCAAGAATGTCAAAGTGTTCTGTAATCGTAATTTCAAGAAAGAGTACTTACAACTTTGATGTCATCGGCTTTCACAGCGAGAAGCGTAGCGGCTTTGAAGGACTCGCTTTGGAGTTCGCCCGGAATGGAATCGTTGACCTGCTGTCGACCAGCTAAATCTCCGCGAATGGTCACGTTGAGACAGTGGCAAAAAAATGTTTGGCTCATTTTAGAAATCAGCTGGGTTGAGCTAAGAAGTCATTGTTCCGGGAGGGAGAGTCGGTTCCAAGGCAATGCAGCTTGAAAGTAGAAAAGTGAAGATGAGGTTTTAATCGCACAATGCTTCAAGTGTGTGCCTGTGTCTGTGTCTGGTTGTGTTGTGCTGTCTGACTGACTGGTCTGCAGACACTGGTGCAGCACTGGTGTGCTTCTGATAAGCTTATGGGCTCTGTTTACACTCCGAACACGGCGATACGGCGTCTTGACAATGGCAGACGAGCGGCGAGGACGCCCGGCTTGGGAGCCAGTGCGGCTAGTCCGAGGGGTCCATGCACCAGCGACGGCGACAGCGGACGCAGTTGACCTGACACCGAGACACAGTGTTTTGCTGTTGTCTTTGCCTCGGAGCCCCAGCACTCTTCTGTCGTCTATCACTCTCTGCTTCCCTGCTTGCTTGCTTGCCTCCTTCTGCAGCCTTCTGTCTTCTGTGCTGTGCGTGTGTGTGCGCAGTACTTTGCAAATTAGCCGATTCGGCTGCACCTACAGTGCGCTTGTTGCCAAGTGCCCTTTCTGCTGGTTGGCGCACTAAATCAACTGATAAAAATCCAATAAAAATAATCAACCAAAGCACGAAAACATGTCAAATAACATTTTTTATATGGGGCTAGTATTCTCCCCTACTTGCCGGTTGGCTGTCGATCTCAATTTCCCTCAAAGTATTTCCAAATTCTCTAATTAGGTTAAACTGAAGGCTGTGGGGCCGCTTATTGGTGAAGGGGGATCAGAAAGGAACATAGATGGGGATGAGTACTCGGGTGCTACTACTAAGCGAATGCCACCAAATGGCTTACATGAGATGGGTTTGTACAGATTGAGGACGAGAGGAACAGGGGGACCAGTGTCATGGCAATGTACCAGCATAGGAGCATGTGAGTAAAACTAAAATGTGGCATTTGCAATGTTCGTTATTTAATTGGGTTTTTTCCAATAAAGTTAATGTCAAAAGAGTAATTTCAGTTACATTTTACCATTTCAAACCAAATCAACCATTGACCTGGTTGGCCAAATGTCGATTCTCAAAAAGCAGAAATGTGAATCCTATGGAGTTCTTTCTAAGAGCAGACGCCAATGGGGTGCGTCTCTGCCCCGAAAGGGGCACTGTGTTGGGAGATTTGTCCGTCTGTTTTCTTCAGTCAGCGTAACACAGCGAGGGGCACTGGGGGCATCTGCCTGTTCCCCAGCAGTATGCCGCTATTCTCATCACAAGGACAGCCGACAGTTGGCGCGTAGTTTTGGGCGCCAGTGCTGAAAGCTGGTTTCGAGAAGTACAAGTAGCACACTAGGGATTTGAGGTGTGTTACTAAGTGGACTTTAGATGTTTAGTCATTGATGATTTGGGAAATAATTACCGGTGTATAAAGTGGCTGAGGGACAAAACAGCCATGTTTACATAGTTTTTGATATGTAAAAGATTCAATTTTTTACAGTTTTTTCACAGTTTAGAAATCCTGAAATCGTAAAACTTTATGTTAACAATCGCTTTACAGACTACTCTTCAAGATAGAAATTTTATCGGGTCCTTTTAAAAACCTCTATCGCCATCTGGGCCACAAGAAAGAAATCACCAAGAGGGCATTTAAATTGGTCCCGGGGCGGCGACCAAACGGCAAACAGTTACCAGTTTTCGCTCACACTGAGTGAGTAAAACTTCATCAATACAAAAAACAGTAACTGTCACATCAAAAAAAAATTTGGAAATAAAAAACATTAGAATCATTGATGTATTCGCATTGAGTGGCACATTTTTCAAGTTGCGCGCTTCCAGTAGAACGCCAATGTGCGACTGCGCCCCGCAATTTCATTGAATGGAGAGAGCTGCAGAAGAGGGCGGAGTCTCGACGAGCGCGACTGTTCCAGAAAGTTGGAGGCGCCATTTTGTGCGCTGTCGCCCCTTTCAGATAGCGCGTGATAAGTACATGTGAGCTACAGTGCTGCCCGCTGCGGCCCACCTTGCAGGGTTTTGTTCGGCGCAAAATCGCGCAGAGCCTGTAAGAGACGCCTTCCCATCAGCGTTGCTCCCAGTAAAGTAGGACAATTTGGATTCGCTGCCTGTCTGCATTTGCACCGTGAGCACCAGTGTTTTCATTGTGCTCCGTCTGCTTGAAGCGGCCAGAGATCGACGCTCCTCGGGTCTCCAGTCACCTCTTTGTCGGGGAGAGTATGGCGCTTCCATACCGTCCTTTCTCGCGTCCCTAGGCCTCGTCCACAGCTTTGGCGGCATTGAGCGCAGAGCCCAGCGCAACCAGACGTCTTCCATCCACGCGTCGATATCTGCACGCCTCGTCACCGCCACCTCATCTTTCACCTGATTCCACCCCCTCCATCACCTCCATCACCACCATCACCATCTCTGCTTTGTGATACTCTTCATCCCCCTAGTTTTACCCTTGGACATCCATCGGCAGTACAAGCAAAAGTACAAACGCTTCATTTGGAAGCACTTCTGAAGGAGCAGCAACAGCAGCAGCCTTGCAGCGTGACTGTAGCATAAGAAATACGTCGAAGCAAGTCGGCCAATATTAATTGAGCTCCCTACGCTTTGTATTTACGGGGCATTTGCCGTCGTACAGTGAAATTACCAGACGAGTGACGAGAAAACTGCATACTTCATTGTTCACCATCTGCTTACCAAAAATGTAATAATTAGCAACACGGCCTCTGCAGCAAAACAACGTTTAGTTTTGAATAACTAATCGTACTGCAAGTGCTCAATCTTTATCTTTGCGTTGCAATCGCCCCACAAAGTGTGCTCCTTTCAGTGCCCATTTTTTGTTTTAAGTTCACCTATCTTCTCTTCAACTATCTGAATATTATCACAAAAGGTGAGTCGTCCTACCAAGAAGGTTTCGAAATGTTCCTTTGTCACGCCAATTCTATTTTGGCTGTTTGCATTGAGTCAACTAGATTTTCTGTTACCTTACACGCATGTAGCGATAACTCTGTTTGCAGTCTGTGCTTTGAGTTGGCAATTTAGATTGCTAGAACTATGAGTAACTCTTGTTTTGTCCACAATGCTCATTGTCAAACACAGTGATACTCTGCTTAACGCAAACAGCCGCAGTACACACCTTAATTTCTAGCTTGTCCCTATCACCTCGTCCTTTGGATCTCATACTATTTTGTTGTCTATGATAGCCTTGCATCCGGGCAGTCTTTGTCCTCTCGATGCAGATATATACGCCATGTAGTGGTAGTGTGGCTGCTTCGTCAATTGTGTCATATGCGTGTCCTTTCTGTGCCCGGCTCGCCCATTGCGTCCTTGCGTTGCTGTCTTTTGCAATAGCTTCTATTACTTATCATTTCTCTCGGCCTTTTTGCCTGCCTGAATCACCATTTTTCTCCTTTCTTAAATTGCATACTGTGACGAGAAGGTACTGAGTAAATTCCTGAGTTGGACATATGATGATTGCCAGCAGAGTATCTGCTACTGTGCTTCACCACCTGGCCTTTGAGGGGTTTTGCTGGCTATGGCTGTCAATCGATTTTCCTTTATGGCAGCTAATTTTTTAAATGGCCTTTACGTCAACTTGAGGCCCTTTTGCAGTTAGAAACGGCAAACTAAGCAATTTGAACTACAGTCAGATCGCTGCGTGTCTTCTCTACATGTACCAGCGCAGCGCACGTACCTCGAGCTACGTTTTATTTTTCACGCTTACTGGCATTACCTTGCCTGCTCTTTCCTTAAGATACTATACACACTACTTCCACTAGGAGATCCTCCTTCTCGGTAAACTCGATAATTGTCTAACCAACGTCGATGATCACTGCACCTTGGTAGTTTTTGAAAATTATTTGCCAGCACTGCAAAGTATAATAAAAAATATACTTTAAAATGTCAGAGCACGCAGCAATTGATGGCCGTTGTGACCTTCAGGCGTCAGCATGCAAGTGCGATGTGTGACCAGATCGATCACCGCTTGTCTTTCATCTACTCGTCATACAATACGAGCTAGCTTGGCGTTGTGGCTGCCTCGACTTGCGCCTCACTCTGTCCCACGCCCCGGCCATTTTCAGAGTGTAGAGCCAGACGACAGACGACTGCACAACCGGCAACCGACGACAGCGCTGACTTTCGCTGTACTGGCTACAAGCGCACTGGCGCATTTTCACCCAAACTCACAGTACTTTCAAGTGTGTCTGGGCAATTGGGCCCAGCAGTGTTTTCCGGAAATTCACTGCGATCAGACCTTGTCGAGACTTCTCGCTATTGGTGGAATCAATTGTCCCTCCAGTAATGACCGNGCCCAGCAGTGTTTTCCGGAAATTCACTGCGATCAGACCTTCTCGAGACTTCTCGCTATTGGTGGAATCAATTGTCCCTCCAGTAATGACCGCCAATCGACAGTGAATACTTGGTGTATAATATATAGATTTATACATAGCTCAACCAACGACGAGCTTTCGTTCGTTTGATTTGGTGAATCCTACGGGCGATCGGTGTCCTTGCTTGCTCTCCCCGTCAACCTTTGCCTGTGTCAACTTTTCTGGCCGCTGTCGAGCTTAAGGGTCATTGCTGTGCGCTCGCTTCCTCTGCGCCCTCGCCCGCTTTATGACACTGCTCACTGCTGGCAGAGAAACGTCAATTGCGCTGCCCGCACACACTGGTCTGAGCCCACTTTACGATGCCTCTGATTATTAATGAATTGCTGTGAATTATGCGCACATTTGTGATGTCAAACGGCCTGCGTCAGCCGCGAGGACACAGACTCTCGCACAGAGAAAGAGACTCGCCCTCACTCTGCCGCTGCAGCAGGCACTGACAATGTGTGCCTCCACAGCCTCGATTGATTATTTCTGCACTCTCTGCAGTAATTAAGCCCATTTTTATTGTGCACTGGTCTAGCTGGCTCTGTGCATTTGTTGCCAGTTGGCAATTGCAATTGGCTTTTGAGCCTTACCAGACACACACTCTCTCTGGCGACTCTCTCTTCTGCCCAGCTTTGAAACTG